AAAAAAAAAAAGAAGAAAAAACATACAAGCTAAAAAGGATAGGTCTATAATTTTGTACATTCGCGCAGATGATGCCGTGCACTGTAGCAGATACCACATTCCCCTTGAGGCTTTGCTGCTCACCCTGACTGGCACCCTAACGCTGTGACCCCTCCCCTAGATCTGCCTCTACCTGTTTGAGTTTGTGTGTTTGGTTGCTGTTTCTCTCCTGATCAGGCAAAAGTCCCAATGATGATGTTCGCCTAAGTGCCTTAAATTTGAAGCCCAATACAAAGATTATGATGATGGGAACAAGGGAAGAGAACTTGGTAAGGAGTATATAACTGTGTACAATGTAACAAATTAATTATTGGTCTAAAGACAATGTTTGCTTAAAGTGAACTTAGAAAATTGAACTACAGCATTCTTGTCTGAAGTCTTAACATGCACAAAAAAGAACCTAGGATGAAAGCAGGCCCTCATGGTATGTTATAACAGTTATAAGCCAAGTGTACATGTAGAGCCATGGAAGATCTCAGTTCCAACTTTAAATCATTGTACTTATAGACTACAATAATATATTTCTCCTAACACATCAGGCCCCAATATTATTGTTCAAACACTGGATGGCACTATGCACCTGGATAAATCACTAACCAGTGGATGGGTATTAAGGAAACCAATTGCATTATCCACAGGTCTGGATAGCGATTTATCCAGTGGATGGTGCTAGCTATCTTCAAGCTAGTATAGTAAGTGGCTTATGGTGAAATCTCAATTTTCAGGCAGAAGTAATTTCTCCATCTGAGGAACTTAAAAACAGTGAAGTTGTAAATGACTTTGACATTGAAGAAGAGGAGATTCAAATAGAAAATAGGTACATGGACAGTTAACTACTGATACCTGAAATGATGGCCAATCTCTATGCATTTAAACCCCAAAAGATATGCCTCTTTTATAAATAGGCCCATTTATTTATGATTTAAAAAATGTATGCAAATGAACCTTCCTGGTCTTGTTTGAAATTAATTAAGAATTCTTTTATTATTTATTGCATATGCTAACAAGATCAGAAAGGCTAATTATTATCATACGTATAAAATAATATATTAACAGGCTGTCATTATGAAAGAGGTCTATACCACTGCTTGTGTAAAATTATATTGATCAGCAAAAAATTTAATATATTATCCGCACTGTTCTTCCTACTTTTTTATGGTCCCAATGAAGCCTCCTTGGCATTCTGAATTTTCTACATCCACCATGCACACTAGTAAATATTGTTGATAGTAGTCAAGAGTCACATTTGTTACTTACTATGTGTATGGGCTACTATGTGCTATGTGAATCATCAATTTCGTACTCGTTTGTTTACAGAGATGAAAATCTGGCAAAGATCAACAAAAGAATATCAGACTATAAAGTGGCAGTTCGCAATCCCCCAAGAGCTGGGAAAAAACTGCTTGTTCTTGATGTGGACTATACAATTTTTGGTATGAAACTGCATGACGCAAGTTATGTCTCGTTTAAAGTGAGGTGTATAGATCGACGTGTTAAGTAATGAAATCTCCCCAACTTAACCTTTATCCGTGGTGTCCATGATACTGGCAATGACCGCGGAATTGATGGAAATTGATTATAAGGTACACAACAGTAAAAAAAACCCGGTGATTTCCTGGGCTTCTAAGTTTGTACATGACCCTGGCTAATTTTAAGGAAAACAAAATGAAAATAGGACGAAATGCACCTTAAAATCTTAAATTTTATATAATTATAATAGGTGACAGTGGAGTGGCATTAATTTAATGCTTTCCACTAAAGAACATCGCTATAACTTAAAAATCATTGTTCCCCAAAAAAGAAAAAAAAAGAAAAAAAAAAAAAAAAAACAACAACAAAAATAAATTATTTTAATTAAAAAAAAAGAATAATTTAACTGGAAAAAAATTTCATAATAAAATTATTAAAAAATCTTCTTGATTGAAAATGTTCAAGTTATGTATTACATATCATTAATTGTATCTATTACATTAATATTTT